TACCTTCCTTTTATGGGATCCTAGAATTTGTAGTTTAGTAAAGTACACTACTGTGCTGTGAATTGTTTGCTACAGAGCTCTAATGCAAGTCTACTGAGAATACTGTCTATTGAATTACAAATCCCATATTCAGTCGCATGGAACCATGAACATCAAAAGAGTTTTAAAAAAACCCAGATAGAATAGTACGTAGTTCATACCTACTTTACTCTGAGGTCCCTTCTACACTGCCATATAAAATCCAGATTATCTGCTTTGAACTGGATGATATGGCAGTGTAGATTCATATAATCCAGTTCAAATCAGATAATGTGGATTATCTGCTTTGATAATCTAGATTTTATGGCAGTATAGAAGAGACATATAATTTTATGCTAGTGCTCCTCCAATGTTCATGTACCAGGAGTCGTCCCCCCCCACACACACACACACACACGAAGGTTGGCTTAATTTCCTATCTCTCTATGAGTTCGCCCTTACATTTAGTTCTCCCCCTTATCTCACCCTGAGTTTTTAAATCATTTTCTGTACATGTGGCCCGCCCATTGTTTGTTTGTCTGCCATTATGCCTAGTTCTTATGTTTTGTGTATCTTGTTTTATACGCTTTGGTGTTTTATATTTTACTGTTATGTTGTTTATTTGATTGTAATTTGTATTGTTATATTGTAATTTTTGTTTGGGCTTGGCCCCATGTAAGCCGCTCTGAGTCCCCTTTGGGGAGATGGTGGTGGGGTACAAATAAAGATGATGATGATGATTATTATTATTATTATTATGTCTCAGCAGCTGTCAATATCCCCCTCCTAAATGACTTATATCGTGACCTGAATCATGATCTGATTCTGAATTCCTATATTACATTACTATATCTTTAAGTTAAGTTGAATAGATCCCGTTAAATTGCTCTGTTTCCATGTTATTTCCTATGCAATTATACGTTTCTAGCCGCCTTATTGAACCACCTTATGCTTTAACCAGTTCGTATAGTGGTCCTCTTCCCCCCTCCAAAATTAGTCTGCTGTTGCTTTTGATGCTGTTATTATCTTTGTTACGCCTTTTATGCTGTTTTAAATTGTTATTGTTTGTTTTTAATTGTATTTTGCTTTGGGCTTGGCCCCTTGTAAGCCGCCCTGAGTCCCTTCGTGGAGATGGAGGCGGGGTAGAAAAATAAACTACCTCCTCCTCCTCCTCCTCTTCTTCTTCTACCAAACAATGTTGCATACCTCTTCTATTGCATTGTGGCTTCTGTGCCATGTCAATAGACTTGAGGTAGCTATCCCTTCTGCAGCAATAATAGCAGAAAAGCAATTTCAAGAAATGCCCAGGGGGGACCCTAAAACATCAAAATAATCAAGCACCAAAAAGTGATGGGAATTCAGATTCTCTGGCTCCATTTACACTGCCATATAATGCTGTTTGAAACTGCATTATATGATCAGTGTGTAGAGTCATATAAGGCAGTTTAACTTCATTGAATTTCATTATATGGTAGTGTAGATGGAGCCTTGGCCTTTGCCCAAGTTCTCTGACTCAAGATTTTTATTTTTCCTGAGTATCTGAAATCATAGAAAGAAAACGATGCTTATAAAAAAGTTTGGTTTTTCGTCATTCCAGCATTTGATCATATTAAATATGTATATTATAAAACAGACTCAACACCATGTTGTATGCACTCTGCATAGTTGCGCAAGAATTTGGATTAAGCCTCCAGTCTAGCACTTAGTCACATATTTTCTGACAAGAAATGGGTTATGGAAACTACTTTTCATTAACAAGTTACAAATTTTAGGCAAAATTAATAGCTTAGATTGTGGGAAAACTCTCCAGTGCTTGGTGTCAGTAGCCCAAATATCTGTCATGCAGTCAGTAATTATGTACTTCATCAGCTTGGATAATACATAGAGAATGCATTTTTATTCATTTGTAATTGCCATTATTTTACTGTGACTTATTCCCCAAAACTGTGGATAGGGTTTGAATATTAGTCTAAAATCTAAGTTGTATTTGTAATTTTCTTGGATGTAAACTGTAGTTTGAATAAATGTTTTAAGACTGAAGTTTCGCCATTTTTATTGAGGTTTTGTACTTTTGCGTTTTCATTCTTATTAAACATTCTTCAGCTATTAGGATGGGTAGAATCACCATACTATTCTGAATATCCAAAATCTGCTCAGATTTGGGAAGCTTAGTTGGGTTGGCTGGTTAGTATTTGGATGGAAGACTTGCATCTTCGCCAGGCAAGGAAATTGGCATCCTACCTTTTGGTAGAAGCATTGGCAACAGTAATCCACGCAACAGTCACCACTAGGTTGGACTATTGCAATACCTTATATGCTGGCCTTCCGAAGTCAACGACCCAGAAGATTAGGATGGTCCAAAATGCGGCAGCCAGGCTGCTAGCGGGATCATCTATAAGATCCCATATTACACCGATTCTACAACAACTGCATTGGCTACCAATAGAACATCGGATCTCTTACAAGATACTGATCCTGACATTTAGAGCTCAAAATGGCCAAGGACCTTTATATCTTAGGGACCGCCTCATTCCTTTTCCCCATCAGTGGTCACCTCGATCCACCCAGGAAAATCTCCTCTACATACCGGGTCCTAGGGAGGCACATTTGGAAGCTACAAGGCGTAGAGCTTTTTCGATCTATGCTCCAATTCTGTGGAACTCATTGCCTCCATATATTAGAGCAATGTTGGAGTTGCGACCTTTGCAAAGGCGCTCAAGACTTGGCTGTTTGGCTGTGCATTTAAGTAACCGGATCAAATTTTGCCATAGTCACTGCTGAATGTTTTTATGTTGAATGTTTTATGTTGAATGTTTTTATGTTGAATGTTTTTATATTGAATGTTTTTATATTGAATGTTTTATATTGTGTATAAACTGTTTTAAATTGTAAGTCGCTCAGAGCACCTTGGTGGAGAGCGACTAATTAAGAAATAAAGTGATGATGATGATGATGAAGAATATGCCAGGTACAACTAAAAGAGAATCTAATCTGTCAGAGTTCACCATACAAGTATAGACAGACCAAGCATCATAATTCTAAAAATCAAACTAGTTGATGACAAGCTAATCAGTTACTCTGGTTTTAGTTGTTGTTGGCTCATTCTTGCTATTCTAGTTTCATATAATAATAATGCTTACACAAGTAATAATGTTTATTGCAAATTCATAGTAATTGCATAACTTATCTCAGTAGTTCTTGCTATAACCTTTAAAGCCAGTTATAATTTAATTGTTCATTTATTTATTGGATCTGGAACATTTTCATTTTGACTTTCCTTAAATGAGTTTAGAAAATGTACATAGAACTTCTCTCTGCTTTATTCTTGCAGTGATGGGCAGGCTGGGACAGAAAGAATGTGGTTGGATCTCCAAATCCCATTCCACACAATTTGTTGCACTGCACCAACTTAGTTATTCCTAACATGGTAATAATACTAGATGGGTGAGCAGAAGTTTAGAGATAGGTCAAATGAGGTGTCCTGGGGAAGCTTGAATTCTCATTAATTGAACAAATTGTGCTGAGCTGTGAGTTTATGTTGCCCTGGCCCCCTCACCTGCTTTGTAGCCATGATGAGGACACCATTAGTTCCTTGTTTCAACAAGGCATTAGATGTCACCTTGAATTATTAACTGATGCTAATTTTTTCTGACTTGTTCTCAGTGAGACTGCCAGTAGCTTCCAAGTTAGGAATAGAATGAATCTGCCCTTAATTTTATTTCAGACTTCAAAAGGACCATCCACAGTGGTGAAACCAATAATAAGAATAGTTTCAGCATCTCTGATAGCTTAAGGACTAAAACACAGCAGATTTCCTGTGCCTCTTAGATCCCATCTACACTACCCTATACCTCAGGATCTGATTGCAGATTATATCTTTATCTCAGATTGTATGGCAATGGAGACTCCTGTAATTCAATTCAAAGCAGATAATCTGGGATCAGATCCTGGGATATAAAACAGGGTAGATCCAGCCTTACTTTTCACCAAACTACAGTTCCCATGATATGAGAGAACCATGAGCCTCAGGATCCTTCCAGGCAGGCACAAAATGTGGGCCCTGTCTTGCTTTTACCAAATGATGCCTCAGATAGAAGCAAATTAATCTGGAGAAAACTGGGATTTCCCAGTTTGCTTTGGATTAATAAAACCAGGAAAGATCTGGATGTTAAACTAAGCTCTGGATCTTTGCCAGGTGCTGGACCTGTAGGTCAATCCCCACAGCCATCCCAGTTATTTGGGCCCCTGGAGCCTGAAGGAGTGGGGCACACCCCCCCCCCAGCACCCCATTTCCCCCTACTACAGCCTCTGAAAATCCCTATGTTCCGATTTGATCTATATTGGCCTCTTCTACACTGCCATATAATCTAGATTATCAAAGCAGATAATCGACATTATTTGATTTGAACTGGATTATATGAATCTACACTGCCATTATCATCCAGTTCATAGCTGATAATCTGGATTTTGTATGGCAGTGCAGAAGGGGCCTCAGATTGAACCTATCCATGTGCAGTGTGGTCTTCTTTTTCCTCCTGTCATCTACTTAACAAACATTAGTGTATTTTCTAGTGAGACATCATTATTTTTCTTTTTCTTAATGTTTGGCTGTAAAGTTGCCTTTGCACTTTCTTCCTTGACTTCCTTAGTAACCAGTCCAAGTCTTTACTATTTCCTGCCAGTATTGTAGTGTCATCTGCATATCTTGAATGGTTGATGTCACATTCTCCAATTTTATGCCTCTTTCCTTAGAGTCCAATTGTGCTTTACGTATAATGCATTCAGTGTAAAATCAAACAGATAGGTTGATAAAATGCAGTACTGCCCGACCTCCTTGCTGATTGAAAACCATTCTATGTTTTCATCTTTGAAGAGTAGCATCTTGTCCTTGCTTAATTTTAGTAGCCAGAAGGGCTTCACTGTGAAGTATGATACCCATTTAGTCCTTATAAAACTTACCAAAAAATATTTCTGTTTTACAGACTTGGATTATCACTTGCTTTTATCTTCAACTGCTCCTGCTTCATCCTCTTGTCAAGACCCAAAGTCCCTGTGGGAATCCTGTGACAGATGATGTGAATGACATTGCAAAACTGGTAAGTGGTTTTTCTTTTAAATTCCTCTCTAAATACAAAATAGTGGTAGATGGAAGGGAAGAGACATTCTGGGGAAATACGATGTCTGATGTTCTTCTTGACTTACACAGATTGGTGATGGGTTCACAAAAGTTGTAATGTTACACAGCATACAGAGCAGTACTTTAGTTCTTTCTGTTCAGCTCAAGGTTTATTTCAACAGCAAATAATCTCAAATGTCCTTAGTGTATTTTCTTTAGATAGCTGTTATGCTTATCTGTGAATTCACATAAATGCTACTTTTAGCTTTGCTCTCAAACACACGGTAGACTTGTCAACTCTGACATATGGTGACACTATTCTAAGGCTTCTCTTAGCAAGATTTATTTAGATAAGGTTTTCATTTGCCTTCCTTGGAGAGAGTGTGACTTGCTCATAACCATCTTGCAAGTTTCCATGATTTCTTAGAATCCTAGTCCAACACTCAAAGCATTACACTAAATTGACTTTTACTTCTCTTGAAACTTATGCAAACACATTGTAATGTATTTTAGTACGTATATATTGGGAATTATGATCAGGAAATACTCTGGCTGTGGTTTAACATATTAGAGAAGGAAAACTGTGTTTTACTTTAAAATAGATAATGTCCTTTCCTGTTTGCCTTTTATACACAGTGAGTTTCAAGGAATGTGCATACGTCTAACTTATCAATTTTACCAAAACAAAAATAGTGGAAGTATTAGAAAGCTATTTCTATTGAATACATCTACATAATAGTATCCTCAAATTGTATGTTATATCCTCAAGCAGAGATTAAGGACCTCATTATGTGCCACCGAAATCACCATGCATTGTGGTGAATCCGGTGGTGCTGGGCAGGGGAAGTGGGGAAACCATTGCCCCATGCCCCATACTGCCCGGCTTCCCCCTGAAGATTCCAGTGAAACACGGGAAGCCTCCTGTATTGCCACCACGATGGCATACACCAGTTCCTCTTTAGTTTTGCGACAGAGCCCTGATGAAAGTAATTCAATGTTGTGGGATGGGAGTTGAAGGGCTCTGTCGCAAAACAAAAGAGGAAATTGCATTGCTGCCAAAATGAATGCTGTCAGATGACGTTGTAAGACGGAAAATACAGAATATAGTCACAAACAATTCATAGTGGTATTGAGAGCTGAGTAATTTTCAGAAAAGGTTGTATAGTTTATTACAGGAGGTACCCCACTTTTGTGGGAATTGTGGGTACAGGACACCACCACTCCAAGGTGGGATGAAATTCCTGAGCAAATGCCTCTCTAGGAATCTATCATTCCTCCAGTATGCCTCCATAGTCATGTTCTGACAGAGGTTGACCACATATTCACCCAGGAGGTCCTAGAGATTGCTAGAGAACATACTAGTCAAATCCACAAATCCATAAATCATTAGATTTGCAAAAGTTTAACACGCAAATATGGAGGGCCAACTGTATTGTTGAATGAATGGAAAGAAATAGACAGCTATTGTGTAGCCTAAAGTATAGACTACAAATACACATATTTTCCACTCTGTTATGGAAACATAATTTTGTCAACAAACTGAATTGTAGAAGTTACGCTATACCCTTCTTATGCAAAATTTTCCATGTTTCGGTACCAAACTAACTAGACATTTTTACGAAGCTAAAAACTAGGATAATGACTTGCAGACAACCTTTGGTATTTCTCTTTTCCCATTAATTCACTTTTGGAACCCACCTCCCTTGCAATTTTCCTGTTAATTATTTTGCTACTGAAAACTATGTGCTACCATCTTAGAAGAAATGCCCTTCTCCCTCTCTGAATTTCTCTGAATGATTCCACAAGACTTCCAGTGTCAACTCTGCCTTTACATTTGTTTCTCATTTTTTATTTTCAAAATGTCACTTGTCAGTCTTGTAGGGTAGATACATATTAGTTCTAAAGAATCTCCAAATGTGTTGGAAATGCTTCCACCTTCTCCTTCGATATCACTTTGGGGGGCATTTAAAGACCTTTGTGGGACCAGAAACTTAGACCCAGGGATGATATGCAACCAATTTTGCTCACCCTGCCATTAAGAGATATCTAACAAAAGAATCCCTGCTATATCAGCTAATGCATGTGGAAGGAAGGGATACATTGTGAATAGTTAGCAGGGTCAGCCTTGGTGAGCAGGGTCAGCCTTGGTGAGCATTTGATGGAAGACTGTACATGAATACCAGGTGCTATAGTTTCTGTTTCAGAGGATGGAATTGGCAAACCTACCTCCATATTTCAGAAGAGGGATCTGGGAAAACCACCTAATAAAATTCTATGAAATTCATGGTATCACCATAAGTTGGCCAGCAACAGCCATTCATAATTATCTGTATACTTTTCTTTTTAAAATAAGTTCAGGGATGAAACCATTATGAAATATCATAAAGGAAAGAGTACAAGTCTATATATTCTGGAGATATCATTTCAGTTCATATATTCTGTAGTAGCCATACCTGGTATTCATTGGCAGCTTCACATCAAAATGCTCACCAAGGCTGACCGTGCTAACTATTCCTTGCACATAGGTTAGCTGATGTAGGACTCATGTATTTGTCAGCTATCAGGGAATACTGAGTAGCTGACCAGTCTAGATCCAGCCATTACAGTAAGAGCACAGTTGAGTAGCTATTCTATCAGACTTTGGTCTTCCTCAAATCTGGCTCTGTTAAGAGGTAGTACAAGAGGTAGTACACAGATATGTTTTCACCAAGTAGATAGCTAGATTCATTGTCATTGTTGCACTTACTTTTCATTTTGTTATTAGATCTTCTCTTCTTGTGGTCTGAGTTCATTTCTCTGATTCTCAAGTCAAGAAGAGAAATCTCAGGGCAAAAGAACTGTCCTGAAAATTTATTTTTTAGAAAAACCATGTTCTGCTGGCTTCTGTTGCTACATGCTGCATCAAACTTGCTGCTGTATACTCCAGAGCCTCTCTTCCCTGCCTTATTTTGTCCCACTCCTTAAACTTGTTCTTTTCAAAATAGAATAACATTCTCTGAGCCCCAAGCCTTGTGCCATCATCCTTATGTCTCAGTAAAATCTGGGTGTGAAATTTGCAGTGTGAAATGTCATGGCTGGATGCTCCTGACCTGACAACCTATATATGTTGGATTTTGTTCTCTTGTGAAAATCCATAGGCTGGGAAGTTTCACAGGATGATAAGAAACATTTTACAATTTCATAAACAACTTAAGCACTGGAATCTTTTCTTCAAGTATTGTTATCCAGCCAATCCAACAAAAGCCTTGGCTACATGCTCAAGACATGTGTTTGTAATTTAATACGTTTTTATTTACTATCACCATTAGCTTTTAATATGAATTGAAGGAGGAAAAATAGTCTATGTTTTGTTTGTCAAACAAACTTAAACATTAAATATTAGAACTTGGCCCTCACCTCCAGCTATACTGTTACAAAGCATATAAACACTTACAAAACTGATCGTTTGGAAGTGCTAAATTCACTTCATCATCCATTTTTATAATTTCCACAAAAAGAATCTGTCTGTCAAAAGCATCTGCCTTGCACCATAAAAGGAGTGAAAGTCAGAGGACAAACAGGTATTTTGGTGATAAGCAAGTCGTCCTTCAAAGTGTGGATGACAAGCCTACACATGATAAAGCATTGATTCATCTGTGACTTTTTTTTTTTAGTTAAGATTTATAAGAACATTGTCCCAAGCAATGTAGTGCTGGCAAGTGAAGTACTCAGGATGACATGACTAGCACGCTCCCATCTATTGTTTGAGTTGTAATAGGACACTCACAGAAGTACCTGTTTTTGCTCCTAGCACTATCGCTAACTAGTGGGAGAGGGCTTGTCATGTCATTCTATAGATCCCTGCTCACTTCCATCTCAGAGCTCCATTGCTTGGCATGGCTGATTGACTTTTAATAGTGGTTTCTGGTCATGGCAGTGCTATCACAGTTGCAGATGTGTCTATAAACTAGTTACAGGTTTATGTGTCTAGCTATGACATCACAACTACCTGATGGGATGTCAGCTATGATCTTCACAGTTTTTCTTTAAGATGGTATCATGCCAGACTTCAGATGAAATGGATATGGATGACAACTAAGAATTGGCTACCATGCACAAGCTGACTTATGTTGAGTTGTTTTCTGTTCAGAAGTTATTAAAACATTCTTACTCCTTGAATCTGTAGTCTTGGCCACTTATGTTTTTTTAACTGTGCGTGAAAAGTGCTTGACAGGCTTTGATGCCAGTAGAGTAGAGTGTATACATAATGCATGCCAATTCTTGTAATGCTCCTTGATCTGGAACAAATTTAATCTTGCAGTGACCTTTCTTAAAGGTATATACAGTTGCTGACATTGCTAAGCATCAAATCTAGCCTAGCATACAGAATATGAAAAGCAGTATCTTCACTTTGTTTGTTGCATGTTTCAATTCCAGAATCAATGCATTTAGATTATCATACCTTGATGTTATAATATGAGTTATGAATGAGTCTTTTTGCCACACACTCAGTATCTTTGTTCTTCCCTTCATGCAAACTAGCAAACAAAGCAAGAAGTTTTTCATTAACTGTCATTTCCCATTTTGTCCAAACCAGAAAATACAGTAAATGAGCAAGCCAGAATATTAAACCATGGTTTTAAATTTGTTCAAACACTCTAATCCTTGATTTTTTTATTGTGAGCAAAATGAGAATCTATCAATGAGGGTTGTTTGATAACTTGCACAAAGAGATTGCTCAGCCAAAGAGTTAAAGAGAGATGAGAGCTCTGTGTTTGTCAACACAATATACTGACAGTGCATTTACAGAAGAAAGAAAATGTGGATATGTAAACATAGGTTTGCAAAGGACACCAACTTTTCAACTCTATGGCTTTAATGCAATCTTACAAGAGAAAGGTCAGCTGTATCTTTCAAGTTGTATTTATTTATTTATTTATTTATTTATTTGATGCATTTATATTCCACCCTTCTCACCCTGAAGGGAACTCAGGGTGGAGCACAACATATAAACAGCGAAAATTCAATGCTGGGACATAAATAGACTATAAACATACATAAATATTAAAATCATTTATCTTGACATTAAAATCCACTTTTCCAAATTTGTATTGTGTAGTAAGAAAATATGTGGGCCACTTCTACACAGACCTAAAATCCAAGTATAAAGGTTTTTAAACCCCAGAACAACCTTCCCAGGGCATCCACATCAATCCAGAACAATCTGATTGGTGGAACATCCTCTGAAAGTTTTCTACTCCCCCTCCCACTGCAGTGCATATGCAGAGTGCAATTTTTTTTAATGTTTTAAGTTTTAAAATGCAGTTATGCACTGGTGGTGTCCACACCAGCATACTGCATGGAAATCTAGCAAAGTCTTATGTTTCTGTGCGCCTAGGATTTAATGGGCTCTGTTGCAGCTCATTTTCCAACCAAAACTATACTTTCTCCTGATGTTTTCAAACATGGGCTTTCCCTGTTTAATGCGGTTTTGCCCTGGGTATGGATGTGTGTCATTTCCCCTCCTTATAATCCACTTCATTGTGGATTATAAGACTTGTGTAGATGGGACTGTAGGGATAATGAGTTGGCTCCAGATACTTAATCATCCTTAGAGTAGACCTGATGAAATGAATGAAATTTGAGTTAGTAGAGATAAACTTATATAATTGATTTCAGAGAATCTATTCTGAGCATGACTAAGCTGAGGTCACCTGCTTGCTTGAGTTTAAATTGGTTACCTGAAGATTCTAGATTTGTTTATAGATAAATAAAAAACTATCTTTTTCTAAAACTTAAGTAAAAATCAAGAAAAAAACTCTAAAATCATCACTTATTCATACATATTTTTGATCTAGAAATCAATGTTTAAGAAGTGGCTTATACAATTTAGAAAATTTTCATGGTTTAGTGACTATTTTGGAAAACACAAATTTCTAAAATATTTTACAAGCTTTCCTTGTGGTACTAAGAAGCTTCACAAAAATAAGTGAACATCGCTTTCCAGAATCTTAGTCCTGTATTTAACTTAATGGACCACTTGCTTGTTAGAGATGTTCTAATCCTATAAAGAAACTAAGTTAGTGGAGATTTTATATCCATTACTGTATTAAGGATCTTACAGCTTGGAAGGTGCCACTGTCCACCTGTCTGTAGGAATCTTGTTAGCAGTGGCGGGTTGAAATTAGCTTCTCAAATTATCTTAGTCTTCCTGAAAATTGGACATCACCCAAGGGGGAAAAAAAACTCTTCCTTAGAAAAGGGCTTTTGAAACCTTGAAAAAAAGAGAGAAATATTATCTTTCTAAAGAAAGTGACCCTTGTATCTATATAAGATCTGAGTTTTTGAATCCTACTCTGGCAAATAATAGTTTTTAAAATGAGTTCAGCATAAAGTAGGGATATAATTACTCACAATTTTCTTCTCAAAAGAAACAACTAGTAATTTTAGCAATTTTCTTCTTGCTGCAAAAAGTCTTCAAAAGCTTTGTGTCTTCAAAGAATAATTGAAATTTACAAGTTACTATTCACAAATCTTTTGGTTGGTTTACAGAGAAAACATTTTATATGGAAAAGGAAACATTTTCTGCATGAACACTATTTCTGAAAAAAAAAAAGATGTTTCCTATACAGAAAATGCAATTTTCTGTGCATATTTAAATTTTGTATTAAGTCTTCAATTGCAACTATTCCTGGACAAGGAAGCATAAGTCTTTTTAGTGCAGAACAACCATGTGGAAATTCAGCAGTGAATAAGGACAAATGAGGATTCTAATCAACCCAGTATTTTTCTTGTCAGGGTTTCTTGACACTTAAGACACATGAATATTTTGAAATATTCTTTCAATTGCTAGTGTTGACATGGATAAAAAAACTTTCTTTATTGATAATCTTGCTTCCATTTGCAAGATTGCTCCATAAGTAGTAATATCCATCTTGTTTTTGAAAATCTAGACTATAGTGATCTCACTATAGTTGGAGAAATTTTGGCTCTCCAATGTTTGGACTACAGCTCTCATGATTCCTTACCATTGATCATGAGAACTGAAATCCAGAACATCTCCACACAGTGGAATGGATATAAGAATGGTCCTTGAAGGGAGATCAAGGTGAGGTATCGAGGACATTGTTTAAAAGTAAAGTGCAACTGAAACATCAGATGCAACAGGTGTTAATATATATTTACTCACTTCATTTAAAAAGGGGGTGCATTGGATGCATATGCATCTGTTTTGGAACAAACATACCTTGCTATTTGCATATGAAAATAGCAAGCTGTGTTTATGGCAGTCACATGAGAGTCTGAAAGAGTAGATGGAATTAAGTCTCATCTAAATACGCAGGACATGATAAATAAATAAATAAATAAATGCCAACTCAAAAAGTTTTAGCACATTACAAATTAAGAGGCGAATGGAATAGCAGATTGGCATATTGCAATCCTTTTAGATCTCTTTTTAGACAAGTATTGAATGACACTGTCCCGTATCATGTGATTCAATTACGGCTTTATTTAAAAGAGAATAACAAAATAACCTTTGATGTCCTTTGCTGTCTGTAGGTTGGAAATCTTCCAAATGATTATATGATAGCCCTTAAATATGTCCGGAAGATGGATACGCTGGTAAGTACATCTACTTGATCTATTCTTCATTGCATAATCAAGGGACATACAGACAATTCTTGTGTACTAATTTTATGAAATGTAAACCTTTTTTTTAAAAAAAAATTAACAAAAAGAAGTCTTTCAAAACCTCTTTACAAAAGGCATGAACCAACCAAAGCTGAGCACTGTTAAAACCTACTGTATTATTTTCATTTGATTTAACCATAAATATTTCTTGTCAAAATTCAAAATAATAGATTTTGGTTTGATTGTGTCTTCAATTTTTCTTTAATTATAAAATGCAATAAATTACGCGTAGAATAGAAACACAGATAACAATATAGATTTTTACTGTATAAATGATTTATCCTAGATCATATTATAAAATGATTTTGGCAGAGGAGTAGAAAAGCAAGTGTATAATTATTAGTTCCTCGAGGGAAATCCATGTAGGACATTGCCAGACATGAAGAGGCGAACAGCTCTTTTAGTTGCAATAATTATTACTATTATCTCCTTAATGAAAGCACAGAGTCATCAAAAGCAAATTTTATTTTTCTGACACATATGTCTTACATTGTTGTTTCCTTTCATATATTTGTAGTTTTTCAACTGCAAAATAATAATTCATCTTATTTTGGAACTATATTTTATGTTCTAAAGGATACATGTTTACAATTTAGGACTAAAATGCAATTCTGCCTGTCCTGTTTCGGGCTGTGTGCTTAAAAAAACCTTGGCTGCAAGGTTTGTGCTCACCATTATTAAAGTGATTCCCTAACCAACTTTATAATACAAAAAGCTTGGATCAGATTGAAAGCATATTTTTCTGTGCTAATCCATGGCAGTACAATCAGATATGTATGCCAGCCCCTTCATGGTTGCTAGATGCTTTGTTCCAGTCTTCTGTTAAGGTATTAATTTTAACTTTAAGGACTCATGGTATGTGGTTTGCTATCTGACTGTAAAATATTGCCTGTCTAATGATGTCCCTGCCCCAATGCTAATTTCTGTAAGAGAATAATTTCTTGAGAATCCCACAATTCCCTCCCCAGCCCCCAATGTTAAGGGATCAACTTGCCTGCTTTTAAGAACTTTGGGAAGATGCATATATTTTCATTCTGACCTTTATTTATTTATGATCATTTCAATAATATTAATTGATATTAAATTGATTTAGTTTGTTGGATTATTGTGAGGTTTTAGAGAAATTAAAATTCCCCAGCCAGTATAACTTTGATCCAATAGGTTTATTCTTAAATTCATATGCAAGAACTTTCTGATCTTCATCTTCTTGTTACCTGTCAACTTATGGCGACCCCATGAATTTCATAGGATCTTATTAGGCAAAGAGTACTCAGAGCTAGTTTGCCATTGGCTACAGTATCAGGTATTCCTTCCACTTACTAACCAGGCCTGCCTGAACCCAGCTTCCAAGATCAAATGGAATCAGGTGTCTTTGGGTACTATAAATCTATCATGTTTTGCCTTTCCCCATATAATTATCTGATTATTATCATGCTTTCATAATTAAAAAAGAATTTTTTTGTGTTTTCATACATGCAGAAGAGCTTTCTTACACTGATATTATATTAATCATAAATGAAGAATGCTGGGACTAGACTGCTTTATTTGGACCATTAATAACATTAGTCAGAATGTCTATTAATAGTAACAGTCTCTCATAAATTCCATGAATGCACTTTCATATCAACCTGATTGCACAGTTCTACATTTGCTTTAATGAATAAGAAAATCAAAGCTGCATTGTCAGTATTCTGAAAGCGTTCTCCATTGAAACTCCACTTGAGTTCCTACCTATTAAGCGGAAATCAATACATTTGGAAAGTGGGAAGTGAAACATGAGCAATAACAGTAGCTTTCAGTGAGTCCAACAAACACATAGCTTTTGGCACTTAATGTCACAAAAATATTCAAAATAAAAACATGCTAGCAATATAGATTTTAAATATATAGCCAGTAAAACTATAATATATAACATATCACACATTTCTATTGGCCAAATCACCCAGTATTTCTTGTTGCTGTTTTTTAAAGCATATATGCAGACTCAGGAAATGTTTTTGTCACCTAATTAATTGCCTAATGAAATCCATTTTCTGGAAGAAAGAGTAATAAAACTGATTTTGTGTATGTGAATGGTGAGTTGAGTGAATAAAAGACAGAAACAGACAGACAGCACAATGGAGATAGGTATATTTTCACAAGCAAATGATGAGAAGAGTAGGGTGGATATACATTGTGCCAAAGTTGTGTATGTGTTTAAAAGTTGCTTGCAAGCACTACCAGTTCTAGACTTTATTGGGGATCCTGCACAAAATGCTTCATTGGGTTGTACTCCTTCCCATTGACACACTCTATTTGCCTATCTTTCCATCAGTTGACACTTCCTGTTAGAAAGGTGGTAAGGACATGATATGCAGAATGGATTGTTCTTTCTTCCATACACTATATACTGCTCGGTTCGTTAGAAGAGGGTAGCTGAGGAAGACATGGCATCAGGAGGAGGAGGTATAACAGACCTGAAAAGTTCCAGAACTGTCAATGGATTGGGTTGCTGTAGGCAGCATGTCACTAACAGTCATGGACTCTGATGTTCATCCAGCTAAGTGACCTCCTTCTTGAATCTAGCACTGGAGCTTCAGCATCTATAATTTGCACTTCTTCTCTTATACCTGGAACATATTACACATAAGTGATAGTTCTTTGCGTCCTCCCCCCTTTCCCACTTTTCTTTCCATTTTTAAAACTTTTATTTTCCTCATTTTGTCCTTCTTGCCCTCCCAGCAAAGAGCCAGAGATTTTAAAGGGGGAAGACAAGTGTACATGTGTAAAAATTTCAAACCCAAATACCAATAAATACACATAATGTTCACTGAACCAATAAAAAAGATAGTTGATTGTGTAATTGTATTTAGGGTTCGTTGAACTGGCAAATAAGGAATCATGCATTTCCAGGTTGGTCCTTCTCCTCTCTTTGTCTCTCAAATGACTTCATTCATCCACTTTGGCTACTCAGTTTTAACCAGACATAATACTTAATAGTTGGTATTTGTCAATCCCAGATAGTTGCGCAAGCTGGAGATATCAAACCAGTTCTCTATATTCAGGTCATACATGGATGTATATTTAAACAGTATCTTATTTCATCAAACTGTTTTGTTATATTTTTGTTACTTTAAAGAATGTTCAGCATTTTTGCTTTTTTAATATAAACGCAATTTGAATTTTGCTCTCAGTTTGTGCTTAACATAATTTCATCGCCAGCTGCCCTTAACACTGTCCTTCCATTCTCTGTTATATCTCCACTGCACCAAGACAACTGTTTGCTGTTGTTAGTTTCATTTTCAGGATCAACATGTTCCATCACAATTATTATTAAGTCATGTATTGAAAATGGAACTCACAAGGTCTTGCATATATCGCCAACCTAATGATTATCAACTGATCAAGATTGCTAACAATAGAGCATAACAAGGAAATAATGTAAACATCTAATTTTGATCTGATTTCTGACCATCAGACTTATGTAATTGGTATCTATCCTTTGATGGAAAACATTTTGATAAAGTGGAATCTTCTATCGGCAGAACAGAGTAGGAGAGAAAATCACTGCTTCCTTCCTTCTCTTCAGCATTCCTTCTTTTGTTATCTGTACATTTTTGGCATATCTTAACCATCTGGGGCAGACAAAGGAAAGAGAATTGTGGGAAACTGCTGAAAATTGCTTTTGTCCTTGTCATACTGATGGAAATGACCACTGAATCAAAGAGTTTTCCATCAGTGGAAGTTTGGTTCTGTAGTTTGAATGTTAAGAAAACATGTTCATCACTAAGATCTCAACCCATTCAGTCCATAAAGGTAGAAACAATATCTCAGAAAGCTTTTTACAATTTAATTGCCTTTTTGCAATATTGATGAGAAGGTACATATCTTTTTATAGTGTCAACAGATCACAGCGATTAAAAGTAGAAACACTATGCTAGTAGACATTATGTACGGAAGAGACAGATTGTATTTTAGATTCCATCTTACTTACTAAAACAGAGGTTAAATGCTAGCAGTTTTGTGGATTTTGTGTTTTTGTTTTGACAGCTTTGGAGCTGGTAGACACGGATAAAGCAGAACTGGCAACATCTATCGACTGTCACAGCTGACCTAGTTATGTTAAGGAGGGCTGTCAGGAATTCCAAAAAAGAATGCGAGAAAACAGCAGGCAATCTAATGGCAGTTGAATTTCAATTTAACAAAGTGCAGGCTAATACCAATTGGAGAGGACATGTTAATCTACTTTTACACGTTTTAAATTACTTAAACAGTTGTTGTATGCAAAGTGTAATTTATCTTTTTCTCCTTTTTATCATCCTTGACAGCCTAATCATTGTTGGTTGCATTTGATGGTGCCTGAGCTGTCAAAGAGTCTGAGTAATCTTCTCAACAAATTTACAGAATTTTCAGATATGCCAGATGTCTTGAGTAATTATTCAATTATCAATAATCTTCGAAGGATCATCAATGATCTAATGGAATGCCTGTCATCTACGAAATATAAGGCAAGGCTCTCATATTGGCCCTTCCTCTCTATTTCTAAAGAAAATAATGTTAAATTATGGGCACATAATATGCTACAAATAAATATGTTGCACAAACATTTTCTACCACTGTAAATCATATCAAGTTCCTTTTGTAGTAGTTCTTGTCCTTATATTTAAGTTGCTCACATTTACGAAACTTATAATTAATTTCTCCTTAATATAGTTTTAATCTACTATATATTTAAAGTTCAATTCTAAAGATGTGTACAATATATATTCAACTATTTGCTTAGAAAATTTACTAAAATTTTACTTTAAAAAGCTGGGTTTACTTATCCAGTGCTGCAAACATAGTGACAACATCTCAGGGTACTTCCAGACATAACTTAAACACATGCCAAAATAAGTTTAGAATACCCACTTTAGTGCACATTTAAATCCCCACCCACATCCAAAAAAACTGGGCTTTCTACCCCACACAACCCCCCAAAAACAGCCCTTAAAAGTTAAAAAAACTTACTGGGACACTATTAAGCTTCTCCAGCAGTCCTCCTGGTATGTAGAAAGGACACACCAGGAGGGAAGGGTCAGAAGCAATTTTGTTCCTTCCCCCACCTCCTGGCACATCATTTCTACACACCAGGAGGACTGTTGGAGCAACTTAATGGCAGCCCAATAAGTTTTTTTAAAAATTCTAAGGCTAGTTTGGAGCACCTTTGGGATCCAGGAGCCTCAGGTAAAAGCCTGACAGACCCCCTCATTTTAAGGTCTGGAAGGGCCAATAGTGAAATCTGTGCTCCCTGCTATTTGACTGCTTGAGGCAGTTCAGAGGAGCAATTTGCACTCCCCCTTGTAACCAATCAAAAAGACAGTCCTCTCCTCTCTAGCTCTTTTTAGGTATGTTCCCCCTATGCATATTTAAAAGGAGAGGAAAAGATTTGTTATGTGCCTCTAAATTTTACCCTCAACTTATCCATTGGTCTTAGCAGATTCCGTAATATTGAATTCAAAGCCTGACCTCAACTTCTCCATGAGATCAACTTATTATCAAGTAGTGTACCATATTTCATTGCATAATAGTCATCATTGTGTAATAGTCACACCCCCATTTTTGGGGTACCAAAATGGTGGTTTTATTTTCTTTGCATAATAGTCACACACCCATTTGGGACTAATTTTCCCTTCCTTCCTTCTTTCTCCAAAAACAAGGCAGTTTAAAAACTACAAAATGGATCTCCCTGAAGCTCCATTCTTCTCTCCTCTCTCCTTCCAAGTAATTCCAGGAGTTCTTTGGAAAAAAGAGGAAGAAAGGAAGATGCAAGTTCCAGAGACCTCTATTTCAGGTTTTTAAAACTGCCTTGCCTCAGAAGAAGGAGAATGGAGGGAAGAGTGCAGCTTTGGAGATCTCATTTTTTTTGTTTTTAAACTGCCTTGCCTTCAATGTAAGAAGGAAGGGAAAATCAGTTCCAAATGGCTCTGCAGTTTTAAAAAACAAACAAACAGAAAATGTTGTAACATAGGGAAACCATATGATTTGGATATAATTTTGCAATTAATGCTTCAGTTTTTCAAAATTAAAGAAACTAATTACATTTTTGTGGTTTTTGGGATTTTTCTGCAATAGAGTCTGACCATTGTGATTTACAGCTTTAACCTTGAAGTGCATGTCAGCTGTTAACAATTCAACCCCCTTGTGATTTCATATTCCATATCCTAGTCCTTATTATTCCTACTGTATTGTGATGGGCTTTAGTTCATTGTGCATCCTTTAAAGGTGAGGTTTTGCTTTTTTTACTAGAATTTTAGACAACATCATGACCACCTTTATGAAGAAGGTAGATTTATTCCAGAAGAATTCTTTAAGCACTTTAGTAACACCGTTGAAAGTTACAAAATATTGGCAAAAACACCAGTACAAAGTGACTGTGTTTTGCCATCAACGACAGAGACTCCTCCAAATGGTAAGGGTACCTTTTATTTTTACTGTCAAATGCTGCTGTAATTTTGTATGACCTTTTAAATGTATATTGTTGCATTCAGGGCTTGAAAACAATGATGTTAGCTCCCATATACTAATCGTAAGATATGTATTAGTATTAAAATGTTTAAAAATGGATGTCAATCATCATTTATTTATTTATTTATTTATTACCCACCTTTCCTTGTGGCAATTCCCTGTTCATTAATTTTTAAAGTGTTAGATTAAAAGTATTGTTCAAAATTTAAAGGCCAGTCACAAATTAGAGTAATGAGAACCATTAAATGGTCCCTCCAGAAAAATGTTGGCATTTATTGATAAAAAATAACACATTGTTGGAAGCTTTAACAAGTTAGAGATAACAAATTAATTTTAATGAATTCTTTCCCAACTCTGTTTATGCTATATCATTATACATACCATTGACTGTAGGCATAGACCTAACTAGCAGTAATGTCAGCTTTGAGCCACAATAAATGTGACGGGGGTATGTTGCCAATGGGAACTTTTTCTCTGCATGCAAATAGCGGACATGAGGGAGGAGGCCTCCATTTGAGGAAGATGGGGGAGGGGGCTGCTTCATTACCCTCTGCCATTGCCTGCTATGTACTCATCACAAATTGTTGACACAATTACTTGTGGTATACATGTTGTTGGGTTTAGTTTGGGCATCCAGAATCTCCCTCTAGAAAATTCTTAATAATTATTGGATGTCCCAGGGACATAACCTAGCACACTTGGAGTTTGATTGAATCTATATCTCTATATATTCTGTGTGTCTGTTTCTGTGTATTTATGTATAGGCAAGCTCTTTATAGACAAATCATGCTAAGAAAACCCAGTGATAAGTCTGTCTAAGGAGCACCCAAAGTCAGAAACAATGTGAAGGCACACAACAACAATTAACAAAGTTGGAGTTGGAGTTTTAATATATGTCTGTGTGTGTGTGTGCCAAGTCCACTGAAATGTGAAATCTCATATAGTTTGACAGACAGAGAGATAGATGTGTATATGATTTAATAGTAATAGTTACTTACTTAGGCAATCCCTTGTTGCCCGAGTATGGTGGCCTTCCAAGTGTAGTTTCTTGGTGGTGGATACATAGGTGACTGTGGAGCCCTATTCTTGACCCACATGTTCTTCCATAGTGAGGGCATCACTTTCCACATGGAAGGTGGTTTTGGTCAGGGTTGGCTTGACGCGCCTTCCTCTTGGCACCTTTCACAGATAGATTAGATATACAAATAGTTATATATGTGTGTATTTGATTTAACCATTCCATATTACTTCTGATTCCTCTTATTTGTAAATGCCTTAAATGAACTCACTAAAAGCCACACTGTCAACAAAAATATCTGCCATATTTCCAGCTCACAAATGTACTCCTTCTATCATAGATTCCAGGCTCAGTGTTACAAAGTCATTTTTGTCATATCCTTTTGCTGCCAGCCATCTAAAGAATGACAGCAGTAGCAGTCACAACAACGGTAAGCATAAATGACATGAGTAACATTTATGCAAGAAAAAAACTTAGGGGCAAACAGTATCAGCAGACTGATTGGATATTCGTTGTCATTGGTAGCATCAATACTAACACAGGAGTTGAAAGCACATTTTGTTTGTTACTAGTTAAAACACACTTTATATTGTTTTAAAAAGTAGTGTTCAGGATACAGTGGAAGATGAAGACTGTAAAATTTGTGAAGGCTCTAAGCTGGCATTAAAGATGTGTGTTTGTGAATTATAAACATTTGGAAGATAACGTATGGGTGATGGTTTCTTTATAGCATAGAATATGAAAAATGTCACAGAATGCTTTTTTGTGGATATGAATTCACTGCTTCTTTTGACTCAACAATCCTCTTCCTTTTTCATAATTTGCATACTCATGATCTATTGGAAATAAATAGACAGCAAAATTGATTTTACCATGCAGTTAATTTGTGGTTATATGGTCATATGAAGGAATATCTTTTGGATTGTTAGAACACTTCTAAAGAAAGTGGAATCTCCCTCCTTCCCGGCCTTATGGTCATATTTTAACCAAGTTAAATTATTCCAAGTGCACTTTAGGTACTTCCCCCATGGCTGACTTATGGCTCCATGTTAGGCAGAATGTTTAGACTATAAATAAAGGTGAAATAGTGTAGTGTAGAGGGCCCTCGGTATCTGAGGAGGTTGGATTGCAGGTTCTCACGTGGATAAAAACACGGATCCTGAAGTTCCCATTAATAGAACGTCAAGGGGCAGCAATTGAGGTAGTGACAATTCCCAGCCTCTAGGCATTAATTCTTTGGGTTCTGCCCAACACTCCAGGAAGCATGCCAACTTTACGCTTCCACTTCCAATATTATTTACTGTTCAAATAAAGTTTTCTGTGCAAAAAAGTAAACTGTGTGTTTTTTTGCACAGAATATGTCCTGAACTGTTATGAGTTTTACCAGTTCAGGATTCTTCTCATTATCAGTTTTTCCTGATACTCAGAAAACCCAGTTTGATTATTGCCACTGGCTTCATATTTGACAGCAGGAGTCGGGGGCTAGGGACTGCATTAGCCCTCCAAGAGACCACACCCACATCCTCATCCTTCTGCAAAAAATCTTCCCCCTCCCCCAAAATGCCCTGAAATATCCCCAGTCCTTTTCTAGAGGCATTGTGCCATGATTTTAGTCACCAATGACATTTTAGTCCCTGGAAAGGCTTATTTAATGCCAGAGTCCAGGATTCAACAGCCAGGAGCTCTCACAGAACTCTGTGGCCAGCTAGGAGGGGTGAAGTCCATGATCCATGTGCTTTCTCACAGAGAAAAGATGATGGCACCTATGTCCTGTCTGAACAGTGAACCAAATCAAATTGGACTTGGTCCAGTTGACCAGATGACTCAAAGCTGCAGGATACTCTGAGGTTTCTAGCAGACTCTATTCAGATGGGATACCTGATTTTAGACAAATTAGGACAAAGCTAGTTCAAAGCTCAAATGGCAGGATACCCACTGGAGATAGCTATGTGTTGTGAAGATGCATGGCTACTTCTGGTGAGAATCCTAGGATTTTAGCTTTGAATCAGATTCGGGTTCAGCTTCTTTGATAGCTCCTTCAAAGTTGGACTAAAACCGAGAACTCCTCTGGTATAGGATTCAGCATCCCCACACTGCTTGTGAGACATTATTTCTAGAGATTACAGTATGATCTCTTACACAAGAGCCCAGATGTAGTTCCAGAAAAGAGGGCAACTAAAAAAAGAAAACTAAAAAAAGAGGCATCTATGCCACAGAATTAATTCACTTTGATGCTAGTTTAACTGCCATAGCTCAATGCTTTGAAATCATGGGAACTTTAGTTTTCCAAGGCCTTTAGCCTTCTCTGATAAAGGGTGCTAGTGCCTCATCAAACTACAAATCTCAGGATTCCACTGCATTGAACCATGGCAGTTGAACCAGTGTCCAACTGCATAAATTCTGCAATGTAGATGCACCCAAAGATACCATTCAAGGAACATGTTTAGCAATCTGCCTGCAGTTCTAATCCAAGATGAACTTCAAACAGTCAAGAGCTTTGCATGTTTGAACTGTGCATCAAAAGGATCAAGTCGTGGTGCCACTTGGAGACTTATGCATCACTCTATGAGAAAGCAGCATGATTATCTTTTGGGGTTTGTCAATATCCAGTCAAAGGAGGATTTTTTTCTGTGTCTGCTTTTTCAATTGAGGACTTTTGTTACATTTTCCTCTTGTATTAGTCTTTGATTTGTGTGTAAAGCAGTGACTGCATTTCACAAAGAGTTCCACTGATTGTTAAAATGAACTGCCACCCTCTGACATTTTGTCGGCTGCTTAGCATTGGTTTTTCCTTTCAAAAACCAACCTTATGAACTCTGCAGCCTAATGGTTTCAGATAGAGATTTGATAATCCCTGTTACTGTAATTAAGTCAGTCAAGATCCCCAAATCACTTTTTTCACTAACTGAATAAGTATTGCATATTTGTTCTGCCAGTTTTTTACACTACATGACCAAGTTAATCTGCTGATGAGAGCTGCACTAAAGTAATACAGATAATAATCTTGTTTTAATTGATTTGGAACAACTCCCTGGGTGATAAATATATGGTACCAGAATTAGTACATTGTTTTCTTTCTTTTACTTTTAAAAAAACAACAACTAGCCCTCTTGCCTGGTACCAGATGGGGATATGTTACATCCGTAAAGTTTAACATTGTTATGATAGAAGCATTAACAATGATAGTTTCTTTACCTACAAGGAAGAAAAGCAACCTGTGATGCCCAATTGCATGTGACTTCTCCTTTACTCAATAGCTTGAAAATCCCACTTTTGTGGACTGGAGATTCTGGGAATTGATATTTTTGAATCTGTATGATTGCATCAAATGGTTTCCTGTTGTAAGCTGCCCTGAGTCCCCCCTCGGGGGCGAGAAGGATGGGATCCAACTATGCGAAATAAATAAATAGTCTTAAAAATAACTTTTCCATACTCTCACGAAGAAAAATATTTTTTCCAGATAGATTTCCTTCCTTTCTTATTTAAGTTGTATTTCAGAATTGGATTTAAGATTACGTACATCGCTTTCCCACTCCCCTCTTGTATCATTGATACTAATGGATAACATTGAGTCAGGATGCGACAGAGCGACTGGCTCAAGCCACTCTGTGCATTTTACAGATGAGTGGGGTCTCCTGGACATATAGTAAAATAAATCCTGCTGAAATAGTATTATTAACCCTTGATTTGCTAGCCTTTCACAACCTTTTGTGTTACCTAGAAAGAACTAGGACTACAGAGAAAGAGAGAGAAATAGTGAAGAAATAGTGGAGAGAGAGAGAGGTAACAAAGAAGAGGAGAAACAGAGGGGGGAAATGGTGTGGTATGTCTTTGTCTAGATTCTGGACCCATCCACTGCACATTTGAATATCATCCAGCATTGCCATAGCTCTGAGGAAGTACAAGTCCTTAGCCAGAGCTTGCAAACATTACTTTTTGGACTATAGCTTCATTAATCTCCAACTGACATAAGAAGTGTAGTCCAGGAAAGTAACTTTTGCAAGCTCCAGTTATTTTACATAATGTGAGCATTATAAAGATTACAGAGCCCTGATGTAGACCAAAATGAATCAGATGAACAAGAGTTTTTACTTAGCACAAAGGCAGTTTCCTATATTTTTAATAAGATAGCAACTTTGAAAAAAATAGAACTTCACCTTTTGACTACTGTGGTAAGCTTGCATGGTGTAAAATAACCACCTTCCAATTATGCAGTTATGCAAGCTTGAAGTATCTGTTCTGCTTGACTAAGATTTCCTTCTAGAGTTGGCACAACTGTAGGGTCTAAACAGAGTTCAAGAAATGCTGGCTAGAAATCTGATTTTTTTTAAAAGCAAGCTTCAGAATTTATGACAGCTTTATAAGCTATACATTGTCAGGCTCTTTATGCTGTGACGCTTGAGTGGTGGTTTGAACTGGAGCAGGCAGAATATTTGTGGCAGAGGTAAAGTGAGAAAAAGAACGTCAAGAACATCAGAAGTGGTTCCTAATGAATAGCAAGTCCACAACAAGGAATAGAAGTAACTACATCAATCAGATAAGCAATTGCTGACTGGTACTCAGCAATTGCTTATCTCGTTTCTTAGTGGCTTTAATATGTTTTCTTGAAAGCTGTATGTTCAAATGCTGCTTGTACTTGCAATTGGAGGTTAAAAGAGTTTTGTGTGTCACCTGAACTTTGACAGCAATAGACAGGCACAATCTGGGCTGGGCTGACTAGCTACAGAAGGCTAGAGGATCCCCAGGAAACCTTGGAAGACTGAATACACCTGGCATTTGCTCCTACAAAAAAACCCTTCATTTGGTTGGCTCTAATCAAGCCAAACATCATCTAGAAGGTTGTCATTTTAAGCTCAAGAGAAGCAATTTTAACAACTAGAACATGAACTGAATTCACTTCTCATTCACTGCCTTTTTTTTAAAAAAAAAGTCCTCTACTCTTCTAACAGTGGTTCAGCAGCAGCCCCAAACATGGTGGATGTCCCTTCCCCTTAGAAGGCATTTGAGTACAACCTTTTTTGAAAAAGTTTCATATTGAGAAGTACACCCTGCCCCCTGAATGTGTTGGAAATGCCACCCACATTCCTTGGAGGCATTTTGCAGGTGAAAACCCAAGCAAACCAGAATTTCATGAACTTTCACATCCATGACAAAACTATACCAGATCTTGAATCTAGCCAGCATGGTCAATTGCCATGTAAAATGAATCAGAAGCAGACCTTGAAAACATTACATTTTGCTCAACAACTTCCAGAATTCCTCTGTCAACATGGCCATTCTTCAAGTAGATATATGAGTATCTAGGAAAACTATCATAAAAGTCATAAAAGTCAGGAGCTCCAGCTGTTGGCCCAGCTTCTTCCAACGTAGCAGTTCGAAAACATGCAAATGTGAATAGATTAATAGGTATCTCTCCAGTGGGAATGTAACAGCACTCCATGCAGTCATGCCGGCCACATGACCTTGGAGGTATCTACAGACAATGCCAGCTCTTCGGCTTAGAAATTGAGATGAGCACCAACCCCCAGAGTTGGACATGACTAGACTTAATGTAAGAGGAAAACCTTTACCTAAAAGTCAGGAATAAGCATTAATTGTGGCAGAACCAAGTATTTTCCTGCTGGGTAATCTGTTCTAGTATACAAAATTGCCTTGGGATGTGACTGGGGAGGGAGGGAGCCACAGCTGAAAGAAAGGGAGGGAGGGAGAACTTATTAACCTAGTTCTGCAGATGGCAAAACTCTAATTACAGAGTTCTCAAGGATGTTTGTCTTTCTTGAGTATGTGCAAATAAAGCTGAGAATATCAGCCAGACAAACACTTCCTAATAACAAACAAACCACTTGAAAGAACATAGAATGTACATAATTTACAAAGGTGCTACCAAAAGAAAGGCACTGAATTAACAATTCTACCCCAGAGATTAAATAAATAAAGCCTTCACTAATTGAAAATGTTTTTAATTACAGAAGCAGCATTGGGTTTCCTCAGTAGCCCTGGAATGCAAGGATTGAGCATAGCGCTAACATCATTGGTGACTCTTTTTATTGGCTTTATTTTGGGTGCTGTATGCTGGAAGGTGAGAAATACTCACAAATAATTGTCATGGAGTAGGGCACTACATTTAAGCACTGTGATTTTTTATGTAGGACAGGAGGGTTGTTTTTTTTTTAAAAAAAACCAACAACCTTATTTTAATGCATTTGCTTATTGTATCTCAGCCCATCAGGGTCCGTGATATGTGGGATTGTTTTGGTGCATTGCACCAGTGTAACTGGGCTTATGAAAGAGGCAGTAGCACTATAGTGGTAAGAAGAGAAAAGCTGTAGGCACAGAGACATCAAGAGAAAAAGTCATAATCGTTGCTATTGATGGGGAAAAGCTACTATCTTTCCTGGAAGTGTTTGTGGGTCTCTAGATCTTCCAGTGCAATTCTATTATATGCTTCCAAGTACAATCAAAATATAGGGTTCACTATCATCTATGATTTCAGTTATCCACAATTTGCTTGGAATATATCCAATGTAGATTGGGGGGGGGAGTCATATTATATATAATACATACTGTTATGCCACGTTGAATCTCATTTCAACCATTTTAAGCTGAAAAGCAAAGAGATAATGCAAGAAATAATAGGTCAATGAAAAATTATCAGTTATCTTTTAACTTTTTCTGAATGAACATTATGAGGTATCTAACTCTATTTATTGCTCACAGAAAACAGCCCGGAAACATATACTAGAAAGTAACCAGACTACACAAGCTAACATCTGCCAAGAGGATAATGAAATAAGGTATTTTTATTTTGTTATGAATGTAAATCAATTGTATCTTTTGATTTCCTGTCTCATATTTTTTGAATATAAATAGCACATTATCACAGTTATGGTCATGAAAGATGTTCAGGGGATACCTTTGCAATATATGTTATGGTTTGCTTCATACATCAAGATAAAGGCATGTACTCAGATGTGTGGGCATCTCTCATGAGTTTACAACTTGTCATCAATTACTTGTTCCTAGTAAAATAGCCCAGTTGAATTGAGAGTTTGACAAGTCAACATTTGTGTACGTAACTTAGTAGGTTTTCTCTGGTTTAGATTAACACTAGGCTTTAGGGTTGTCCAAACTTATCTCCCTCTATGACCCACCTTGGAGATTAAGATTGTTGGGGAAGGCCTTGCTTTCAGTCCCACCCCCCTCACAAGTGCAACTAGCTGGAATGAAAGACAGGGCATTCTCAATGGTGGCCCCTCGCCTATGGAACTCCCTCCCCAGTGAAATTAGATCTGCCCCATCCCTCCTGACCTTCAGGAAAAACTGAAAACATGTCTCTGGAATCAGGCTTTCAGCCAATAATGGGAGTAATGTAATATGAGACTACAAATTAATATCATGACAACTCATACTGATCCCGGAATACGATTTTAATTGATGTTTTAATGCTATGTTTTTAATGGATTTGGTTTTAACATTTTTGTTTATTTACTGATGTATTAATATATGGCATTGAATTGTTGTCTTCGTAAGACCGCACTGAGTCCCCTTCGGAGTTGAGAAGAGCGGGATATAAATGTGGTAAATAAATAAATAAATAAATAAAATTATATCTTGTTTATACTTAGCTTGAATTTAGGTTGCTGTTCATGCTTACTACTACAACAAAATTATTTTTGCTTTGACTATAAACATCCACTCCTGTTTTACTCTCTAACACCCAGAAAAGCCTCCATATTATGCTGCCAAATAAACCAGTACATCCCCTATTTTTGTTCTCTTCTAAAATAAATCTTTTAAAAATGTAAAAATTAATACAACCTGACAGTATGTGCTTTTTTTTTGTTTGTCTTTCAGTATGCTGCAACAAAAAGACAAAGCCCTTCTACAAGTGTAGCTGTTGCTTTTTAAAAAATATACACTGTTACTGTTTCACATCTGGGTAAGTTCTGAGAAATAATATTTGACATTTCCCACTAGCATGTTCTAAGAATTGGCCTGCTAAAATATTTTATCACTGTTTATTTTATAAAACTTTGTGCCGGCAGGCCATTGATGTGGTCACTTTGTTCAGAAGAGACATGGTCTATACCAAGAGATCATTTGAGTAATTATTTTAGCCAAATGATTGTATCTAATTAGAAAAGATACCTGAGGCTTACTACTGTCATTAAGGCAGATGTTGTGACTTTCTTATCAAAGCTGGCTATCCTGGGTGATGTGCCTAATAACCTATGAGAAAATGCTAAAGCTACCATATTGCTAATTCAGTGTGCCAATATTGTTTTTGTGACCTTCAGCCCACCCATATTTCCTAGACTGCCATTTCTCTGACCAGAAAGGCACAAATTATCTCTACTAAAACTCTGTAACATCATTGTTATTTTTATTTATAAGCAACTGTTTCTCTGTTATAGAGAGAAAAAGCGGCATATAAATATATTTCCTATAACAGAGAAACAGTTGCTTATAAATAAAAATAACAATGATGTTACAGAGTTTTTGTTTTTATTAAAATTGAGAGAGTTGCATAAACAGCCATTTTGTCTTTAAGCTGGTTTTCTCTGTATTAAACTAGAGACATGCAACCAAGGTTATGTCTGCACACAAAATATGTGTGTAGCAATACGTATGCATACACAATCAGCAGAACCTTGGCAGAATGCATTCTGGGAGTAAGCCAAGTGTGGCTTTTCAAGTATTGTTGAACTCTTATCAGTAGCAACACCAGGGTTTAGAGATGATTAGAGTTGTGGTCAAGCAAGTTCCTTGCTCTGATCTGTTGCTTCCATTCTATCTCTATTGGCCATAAATCCTAACATCTGCTACCTAAGCAACCATCCCCTCAGTCTTCTAATTCTCTGTATCCTCCTTCCCTGTTTCTACAAAGTCCAAATAAAATTGTTCATACCACAAAGCCACTGCAAGCAGTTCAGGCAACATACTACCAGTTCCACAACAAAAGCACTTCATCCAGCCCTTAATCAGTCACAAGGACAAGTTACTCTGGAGCTTCCATTAAACTCTGAAGTGACCTCCAATGTGTATGATGTGTGGAACACTAGAACAGGCTAGATATGAGACAATCCAGTGTTCACATGACAAAAGGATTAATTGCTGTTCCACTGGCAGCTACCAAGCAGAACCTCACTGGTGACATTGATCCTAGTGATCAAATACCTAGGTATCCTGTTGTGATCTCACCAGAAGCTATGCCATCAGCAAGGCTCTGCCAGGAAATGGCTTTTGGTTTGAGAAAATTGTGGTGATAGCAATTCCAAGAGAACAGGACAGTCTGAACTGTAAAACAGCTTCAGGGCACTCCTACAGTGTATCAAGGGCAGCTCTGGAGCAGATTACTTTGGATTGTTCCGCCTTTTCTTTCTTGCCAATATTGCTTCCTCCTTCTCTCATAGACATGTCATTGTTTCTCTTTCTGGCTTCTCTTCTCAAAGATTCAACCTGCCAAACATAATACAAAATGTGTTAAAATATGTTACTTCAAGAGAGGAAATTTACTAGTTACTGTTATTTCAATGCCTTTTCCCAATTTGTAAAACTGATAAATGTTCATCATAACAGCTCGTAAAAACTATTCACTTTTTCCCTTCTATCTCTTTTACCAGGCAGCTAACAGTTCCATGTTTGCTTCATAAATGAAGCAGCTTTAAGCATATTTGTATTCCTTTTGGAGTGACAGACTGAGTCTGCATCTGTTGTTGTTGCCCGTGACTCCATATTGAGAATAGAGAGCTGTGGACAAAGAGTGTGCTACTGTGAAATCAATGTTGGATTAAATATCATCAAAGAAGAGTCTGCGCCGAAAGGAACTGGGTTTTTTTTTCAACATATGCAGACAAATGTGTTTTTTTGCATCTTGAGGTTTGCAGCAGATTTTGACCAATGCAGTAAGTGCATGAACAAATTGTTATGAATTGATGTGAATCAAGCCCAAAGTCACAAGGAAATTTGCATTTTATGTGAATATGGAGACTGACTAGGAGAGAAATGGATGAGAATAATCTTCAGCACTGTACATAAGACTTGCAAATAAGGTTATGCAATGGACTAATGTGCTTGCTTGTTTTCACCAGTAGAACTGGGACATAATTTTGGAAGGTCACATAGGTAATAAGACTGGGTATGAAATAAGGTGACATTGAACTCCATGTCAGAGAAATGCAGCTTATACTTCAGGAGAAGGAAACATTGGAAAACAGGGCAAGTATTCTAGGATGGAATATTGATTGCTGGATGTTGTGACCTTTTAAGAAAATGGAAAAGGCAGACTCTGGAATTGCAAATTATTATGAATCCTATTTAAAATGCTTATAAATATCCTCCTTTCTTGATATTTACAAAAATTCAGATCTTCTTGAAAATACCAAGGTTTAGTTTAGCTTTTACTGTATGTCATTTATTTCAAATGAATTTTAACAGTAATACACCTGCCATCACTTAGCATTCTCCATCTATTATTATTACGATTATTCTTAGATCATCTGAAATAAAATGGAAAACTCTTTTCTTAAATAATTATCAGCTTCTTGATATTACTTGTAACAAACCTGTGGACAGAAAATCCAATAGCCTGTTATTCACCAATGTTAAAAGGGACATTAAAATCTATTTAATTTTTTTCTACAGCAAATAGGATTGTGTGTTCTCTGAAATAGTTGAATTATTCCATATTCCAAACTGTTAATCCAATCATAAGGCGAAAGCTATTATAAGTTTAATTAAACTATGTTTAATATTTTCATTTACCATATATTGATAAAGCTATCGATGCTTAAGGAATAGTTAATTTAAACTGAAAAATTTTCACAGATTTATTTATTTTTCATATCTGTCACGGACTATTAGAAATAATATATGGAAAGCTGTAGAAGATATTTAGGGTTGATTGAAATAAATCAGATATTACTTAAGCCCTATCTAATAGTTTTTAGCGAGAGAAGAAGCTAATGGCATTAGGAGTGCCACATAACATGTACTATGAAGAAGTTAGAAATAGTGATCTTCACAGTTCGTGCAAAGAGCTGCATAGCAATCCAAATCACAAAGCTGACCTTTTCAGTTAGAGCAATTTTAGAGCCACCCCATCCCATTTGTCACTTGTTGCTCATAAATACAGCTGGATTGAGGCCGAAAACTATGACTTTCTGACCTATTTTAGAGAGAGATTCAAATCTCTGTATAATCTCAGTTGTATAGAAAGACTTGCTTGAATAATGCCACAACACAGGTCCTGACTAGGTGAAACCAGAGAACAGTTAACATGACCCAATAAATCACTAAAGGCCTCATAAACTTCACTCACATTTTACATTCCAGCAAGTGTTCTATAGATTGTGTGTGAAATATCTGAAACACATTTTTGAACAATTATTTAAAAGGGAACAAAGAACAAAGGTATTGGATAAATATGACTTTGAAGGTAATATTGCAAACTGGTTGGAATTTATAGTACATGTCGTGCAAAGCTTACTTTATACTGGAAAGTTTATAATAATGCCACATTCTCTTTACCCTGAAAACAAGACAAATTGAAGGTCAAGAGGCACTTACAGGGCCAACTAAAAATTCCAAGTATAATCCTACTGGCATTACCACGCTTGCATAACGATCATCGTTCTCATTTTTAAAATGTAAATAACATCCATTAGCACACAGTGAAATAGCATCCCATCAAAAGCAAAGCTGAATAATCATTCTGACAGCTCTTTGCATTTCCTTGGCATTTTCTGCTTAAGAGATTTTTCTGAGTGGGGCCTTCTCAGTTAAATGTCACAAGGATGAAATTTCACTGCTTACGGTCATCATTTGTAAGATCAACTAATTTGCAAAGCAGTAATGTTGAAAGTTTGCTTCCTTTGACGTCCTCTCCATCAGAGACAGGGTGACTTCAGTGTAGTTGTTTGATGCCAGAGTTTGGCTCTGCATAGCTATTCTCCATTTTCTTTTGGTTCAAAGTGACCCATGGGTAGATTTGGAATTCTAGCATAACAAAAGTAACTACTCAAGAGCCCTAAACCCTACCCCAAAGACAAAGCTAGCATCCTTAACTCATGGTTGGGAACTAGCCCAATATCACAATATTGTGTTATATTTTCCCTATCACAGAAAATAGACTGTATTTCCTCTATTCTAAGATAATCCCCCCCCCCATATAAACATTTCTAAAAATAAGGTGCATCTTCGAATCACATGATAGATTTTTTTTCTGCTTGTGGTTTCAAAATTAGTGTGTGTCTTATAATCAATGGCATCTTAGAATCTTAGAATCAAAGGTATATGTAGGCAATGTTATATATTAGGCCAAATATTTCAGAGCAATCATGTTTCAATAGGAGCCCCTTGAGGCGCAATGGGTTAAACCTTTCTGCCAACAGGACTGAAGACCAACAGGTCATAGGTTCGAATTCGGGGAGAGCGTGGATGAGCTCCCTCTATCAGCTCCAGCTCCCTATGCAGGGACATGAGAGAAGCCTCCCACAAGGATGGTAAACCATCAAACATCTGGGCGTCCCCTGGGCAATGTCCTTGCAGATGGCCAATTCTCTGACACTAGAACAAACTTGAAGTTTCTCAAGTCACTCCTGACATGAAAAAAATTGTTTCCATTGCTTAAAACAGGGATGGTCAACTTTCTAGGAATCAGGGAGGGGATTCGATTCTCCACAACCCACTGAATGGAAATAACCCCCCCACACACACACATACACATACAAACACACAGTTTTTCTTTAAAACCAAAGCAATTCCGGAAGCTTCTGAAAGATGACACAGTGCTTTGAATCAAGATACACCCTCCCTGAATTCCTTGTTCATAAATTAAGTGAGGGGAATTTGCTACAGCAAAAGAAATATTAGACTTTTTAAAACTTCTGTGTTGTCAAAATTTGGCAGAAAGGATGTTGGGAGCTTACATTGGGCCTGTAAGCTGTGAATTGTCTGTCCCTGAGTTAGCAGTTCTTCATAGTCTTGTTGGCAGAGCCATATAACCTTTCTGAGGCATCTTCTTTATCTTCAACTATGCTAAACTTTGTGATATAGTTCCCAAATGTTTATTTAGGGTGAGATTATGACCAAGATGGAGAAAGGACAAACTGCCTTCAAAAGGAAGAAAATGTTGACACATTAAAAAAAAGATTGATAAAATTATATACCACTTAAAATCATTTAATAGGGAAGCAAGCCTTCACTGATTTTCTTCTGAAAGGAAGCAATCACTAATTCTAGCAACTTTTGGAAACTGTAGTTTGAGCCTTTTTTTGCTCAAAAATCACATAGCCATGTGTATGGAAACATCATTTTTCTTAGAGAAGTAGTGTTTTCTACATAGAAACCAATATTGCTGCATAGAAAAATGTTATTTATTCTGTGTGGAATAGATCATGAACACTAAGGATTCTGTTCAATTCACCCAACACGCAAGAAATTCATTTTCCAACCTTTTTTGAATATTTGCAGATATTCTTCTCAGCCCCACCTTTTAATCATTCTGTCAAATTCAGGAAGTTCCTTTCAATACATACTGCAAAGATGAATAAGGATGCTTATCTGGGGTGGTCATCATTAGAGCATATCCAAGAGACATGCCTCTGGACACAGTTCTTTGGATTGCTTAACAAAATTCAAAAGTAATCTGTTGTCCAGAACAGACAAGATCCTGGCATAAGAAAAGAGAATTGAAATCCAGCTACGTGCCTCTGTTTAACACAAGACACAGTACAATCTGTTATGTGACTTGTACACCTCGAGGCATGTGTTTACATTGTTTGTTTTTTTGTTTTTTGTTTTTTTTTTTTGGTGTGCAACTTTTCCATTAGCTCTTCCACAAACATTTTTGGCATAAATGAATTCTCTTGAGATCCAACAATTTCGTTTTGGGAAACATAAAACATTTCTGCGTTCAGCTTTGTTTTGTTATGTTTTGGGAAGAGTAAATAATATATGACTTCAATGATAGAAGGGATTTTTTTTTATTTGTACATTAATACAAATTCCATTTTCTTAATTCCTTGCAGCATTTATGAAAGTGTATATGATGAAGTCATCTAACTTTTTGTGTTATTAACATCTTTTCAAAGACAGAAAAGTAGCAGCTGTAGACAAAAAACAAATACCATTTTCCACAGGAGTTTACTTGAATAACTTAATGGTACTCATTTCACCGCAAATTTGGTGTACAAATGTGCCATTTCAAAATCATTTTTCCTCTGAATATGGTGAGACTCTGAAGACTACATACTATACAATTGTTGAATCAAAAGAGCTACTTTTGTATTATTTCAGCTACCCAGAATGAGATTTATGTCATAGTTCCCCCTGCATCACTAGTCATTTCATTCAACTGTATTTTTAAAAGAAGCAATGTATAAATAATAAATATATTTAAGTTCTTGAAAATCCAAACCTTTGGGCTCCTCCTTATTGAAAACAGAGAAACATGTGCTAACTGGTTCATGGGTTCACAGTATTTTAATGTAAAAACAACATAGTATTTGTAATCAAACTGATGTTGAATTGACTGTGATTGTAAAAATGTAATGAATATCTTACATGTACTCTTAAAACAGATGTGTATTCTCAGTTTTTAAAATATTGTTTGAATCTGGAATTACATTATATCTGAAATTAGATTACATGCAAATACTTCGTTTTAACGAAGAATTTTATGTAGTAGAATCATAGAGTTTTCCAACTCTATGATTCCATGGGCCATCTATTCCAACCCACCATGCAGTAAAAGCACAATCAAAGCACCGCTTACGGATAACAATTCAGCCATCTGAATAGCTATCTGTGTCCAGCTCTGGGCACCACAATTTAAGAGAGATATTGACAAGCTGGAATGTGTCCAGAGGACAGCTTTATGCAGGGCAGCTTAAAGAGCTGGGTGTGTTTAGCCTGTAGAAGAGAAGGTTGAGAGGAAACAGGATAGCCATGTAAAATATTTGAAAAGATGCCATAAGGAAGAGGGAAAAGTCTTTTTTTCTGCTGCCCTGGAGACTAGGACTTGGAGCAATGGGTCCCAATTAATCTCAGAATTCAAATGAAATCCCTTTGCCTTTGTGTGCATTGTGTGCATTGAAGGCATTTCTCACTTATGGGTTCTGTGCCATAATTTGTTCAGAGGAGGTTTGTTCTTGCCTACCTCTAAGGCTGGGGAAGTGTGCTATGCCCAGGATCACCCAATGGACTTCCATTACCCAGTGGCTAGTTCAACACACAAACGACTACACTATGTTGACTTCCAATCCATGTGAGAGAGGGAATAAAATTTTATAGACACTTGTCAGATGCTGGACATCTTATAGAAATAAGATTAGAAAAGTATCAAGCCAATTCTTAGAGCTTTTCTGGTCATCATTGGAGAAAATCTATTGGATTAATATAAGTTTTGGGACTGTTCTGCCTGAGACAATAAACAAGATTTAATACTATGTGCTTGGGAATGAGCCAGAAAAATGATGAGGTTCAAACATGTGCCACATTATATATTAATCTTTTGACTTGCCTCAAAAACT